AATAATATTAAAATTATTTAATTTTTTACTAAATACTAAAAATAATTTTTTAAATATTTTGATACTTAATAAAGAAAATCTAATAATTTAGTATTATTCAAATTTTTTTATTAAGAAAATTTAAATAATATTTATTAAATACTAAAATATTTATATTTTTATATTATAGAATTTTTACTAATTATTAACAAGTTTAAAGAAATATATATTTTAAATAAAAATATTTTATATAATAATATATAAAAATAACAAACTGAAAAAGATAGAATTTTCTGATATATAGATATTATAAAAATATTTTTTTTACTGAAATAAATTGTAAACTGAATAGTTTTAAAACTATATTTTTTTTATTATTATATAATTATTTTAGAACTAGTATTTTTATAAACTAAACCAAATTTAATTTTTGTCTGAATTCAAGTTTAATTCAAAGTTTGAATCAAATTCAAAACTGAACTTTAACTTGAGTTCAAGAAAGATTTAAAGTTGAACTAAATTCAAATTGAATTATTATATAAATTCGAGTTTGATTCAAGTTCATTACAAAATCAATATATAATATTATATATTAATTTGTAATTTTAAATTTGTAATATAATTTTATTTATTATAAATATAATTTATAGTTTTTATTCAGAATTAAAGTTTTATATTATATAAAGATCTTTTTATAATTATATTTATAATAAATACCACTATAATCACATTCATGAAAAAATTACCATTGGACCTGATAATGTGATTAAATTATGATTAATTCTGATATTTTGGTTGTTTGAGATTTGTAAAAATGCACCAATAAATTTTTATAAACAAATCAGTATTATTTTTATATTAAAACAATAATATATATTTGTTTATAAATTGTGTATAATATCTGGCAACATTTTCGCTTTTGATTATTATTATTGTCATTTACCATAGAGCACTGCATATAATACCCTCCTTTCTTTAATACCTTCCCGAGCCAATTACCCATTTCCACAAATAAAACCGCTAAAAAGTGAATAGTATCAGTATCAATGTCAAATCAAGAGATTTTGATATACCATAGGCAGTGCTCTACGTAGTATATACGAATTATGTTAATACACCATAATACGTATTGTATGCTGTGAATTTTATTAATTCCCAAAGTTGAAAAAGTCAAATTATATCTGATGCTGTTATCAAGGAAAATTAACAAAATTTCTATTTCTTGAAAAACTTGTAGATAAATTAATTACAAGGAATTAGAAATTACCAAATAGAATTGCGTATTTTTAACTTCGTGTACTGGAATAACTAACCAATTTATTTGTTTTTAATTAAAACTGTGGCTAAAATTGCGAAATTTAGATTTCACGAATTTTAGATTTCTAATAAGTTTGTTGAGTTTTTTACTTTTAACGAAAAAGATACGAAAAGGTTCAGATTGCAGAAACTATTTCGAAATCATGTTCAAGATATTCAACGAATTTGCAATTAAGAGTTCATTTTACCAAATAAAAAAACTTTTTGATTTGGTAAATTTTTAAATAAGTTCTTGGTATATAAAGTTAATAGCTTAAAAGACGTGGCGACCTAGCGATAGTGGCTCTCGGGAAAAATTTATAATTAGAAATTCCTTCACAATGAAATAAATCTTGATCCAGTATAATGAGAGTCACTGCGTATAATGTAAGTACACTTGTTAGAAAAAGACTTGAATTAAGTTGTTTAAAAGCAAACGTATCCAAAATAATGAAAATATGAACTAAAATATCTGAGGTCACGAAGTCGCCGTTTACGTGTTATCTTTTAATCATCAATTTTTTTATTTAAGATTTATACTGAATGCCAAGATATTAACTAATTTTCTAAATAATTTCAAAACAAGTTAAAATCTTCTGTTCACACGTACACAGTAAACTTCTCATGTCAGAGAAGTACTTTATCACAACTTATCGTTATAGAGAATAACGTTTTAGAGAAATAATCGCTATTAGACCAAAAACCTTTTTAGTGAGGTCTCGACTTAGAGGTGTTTACTTGTACATGTACCTTTTGTAATTCAAAATGAAGTAAGAAAATACTCAAGTGCATTAATTATGGTGAAGATAAATTACTTTTTTAAAGCCAAACAAAAATACCCATTTATTGATTGTGACGCAAATGCAAAACAATGGTTATAAATTGCCAAAAATAGATCACGGATTTCAAACTCCGTACGCGCTGGTACTTTCCCAATGTATATATGCGGGGCGTTTCCCTTGAGTAAAATTCAAAATTAAATCAAGATACATTACGTGTTTCAAATAGAAAGAAAGAAAGAAAGAAATGAGCACAATGAAAATGCAAGGAGTCACGATGGCTTAAAGTTGCATTTTTTGTTGTCATATTTTAGCTTGAGGGAGAATTACAGCGAGTAAAATTTAGGGGAAATGATGTGATCAAAAGTTAGGAAGGCAAAATGAAAAATCTGTTGACAAAAAAGTTGTATGTAACGGTTTTTAGTATACATGTATTTCATTAGGGAAGAATCGTAATCAGAACAATATTATATTATTGGGTTAAGATCTTAGTGATCTGACTGATTACAACGAAAAAGCAAGAGCAATTTTTATGGGCAAACCCATTTTGAGTTGAAAACGTTTGTCTAAAACAAGCAATAAACAAGTTTGAAAAGTGACTACGTATATCGATATCTTCGTTCTATTATCATATGATATCGAAGGATATAAATAAAATTTTAACTGGAGTGGTTTCAAACAAACCTTAAAAATGGAAACTTTCTAGGATCATTTCATTTTGCGGAGTATTGTGGCTCTTTGTGGCTCTTTTTCTTATCAAATAAAACGGTAAAATTAAATTTATATTCCGCTTACGTACTTATAAAAGAGGCCACCAACCACAACTTTGCCACTCACGTATTTTTTTTAATTCACAAAATGCTATTGACCTACAATGATTAAATAGCATTGAATATGAAACTTTCTATCGCTATGTCTTGTTTTAGAAGAAACCCTTTTTTACAAATTACAGTAAATGAATTCTTCATAAATGATCTTTGAGACATAAAATGGTTGGCCAAGTTCCGATAAAACTTGCCCTTATTGATTTATTCATTGTTATGCTTGACATTAAGCTTGATTAGTTTTTCAAAATCGACAATGACTTCGTGTATCCTGAAACCGCAGCCTGGAAAATGAATTCCGTTCTATCGCTATTTTTAGAATTAAAATGCACATAATAAGGAGAAGATTTAGATTAAAAAGATTTTGAGATAAAGTATTCTTTTCTAGTACGACATTCGTGTACCGGAAATTTCGGAACAAAAAACGCCTAAATCAATTACATGTATAAATATCTATGATTATTCGTGACAATTTTTTCGTCAATGAATTACGAAAAAATTCATTAATAGAACCAATTTCCCTATTTCCATCAAGTAGATCAAAACTTTCTCGCTTTCTCTTGAATACAAAAATGTCTTCGACTACAACCAGATACCAAACAACTACACGTGGTTCAAATAAAAGAGTTCAGCGAGTAAAGGTGATCTCTGATCCGACAACATTGACAACTACTATTGCAGGTGCATCTACAAAATGCTCAAAAGCTTCTTCGATCTTTGACAAGAAAAAGAGTTGTTCTAATTGTAAAGAATCGAAAAACTTTGTTAAATTATTAAATAATGATTTAGAAAAAATTGAAGAATTAGTCGATAAACTTTTAGAGACAACTTCAAATAATAAGAATTACAGTGACGACATCGAAAACAATGAAAGTCGCGAAAAGAACAATAACAATGATGATTTTAATCAAGGAGGAAAATTTGAATTCAAATTAAACTCTGACAACTTAAATCAATTAAATTCTGGAAAATCAAACCTTTATAGTAATGACTTATCTAAATGTAGCTTCGAAGACTTACAAAAAATGGTGATGAATGCGACAAAGTTTCCTTCAGAGACATTTTTGTTTAATAAGTCACCTTCAAATTCAATTCACAGTGATCAAAGTGATTATGGTGATTATTATGATGATGATGATGATGATGACGATGATATCTGTAAAGATAAATATTTTTACATAAACGATTCTAACGCTAAGAATAAGTCTTTCAATACAAATCCTATAATAAAAATTGAAAATCATATTAAAGATGAATCTAAATATAATGGGAATTTTGTCAATAAAATTTTTTGTGATCAAATTTCCGAATTTTCGGATTTTAGATTTATTTAATATCGATATAACGTATGCGCAAACTTCTAAGAATTTAAATATACGTATAAGTTTTTATTGCATTTTTAAAATAAGCAATTTGTAATTAGTATGAATTCTTTTATCATTCCCGACTTTCAAATTATTTTTTTAAATATATTTTGTACATTCATATTACGTAATATTCAATGAAAAACTGTAAAAACCTGACAAAATTAGTGATGTTAAAATATATGTCCAGTCCGGTTCGGTCCCAGGACCGAAAAAGACCGTCCTGGACTTGATTCATAAAATCGTTAGCTTTATCAGATCCTGAATTACAATTCTTCAAATAAGTCCATCCAATGTTATTGCTTGGACACAAATCCAGCAATTTAATTGGTTAGAACATGTGTCCTGACTAATTATATTGCTGGATTTGCGTTCAAGTGACAAACTAACAGTCCATCCAATCAAATTAATTAAGCTATACGTATACGTTTATACGTTATATATATACTATAATTTTTTTATATAATATAAATCACAATCGTGTAGATAACAATAAACTGTGAAACTAACGCTAATAAAGGTTATTACATATAATAGTATTATATTCTAAATTCTATAACTTGTTTCTAATTCTCTAATTAATTCTATTTTTTTTAGCTTTCTTCAAAAATATCAATGTTATTGATATTACATTCAGATTCTTGCTCTTCGACATTTATATATCATCCAATTCCGTATACCAGCTCTTTAAGCATAATGACGCGCGTGCTGTTTCTGGATCAATACGATTACGGTTAAGACTGACTATATGTTTTGCAATAGAAAAGGCTTGCTCACTAGGTACACTAGTTGCCTGTATTGCAAGATAGTCCATTGCAATTCGTGCTAGTGTCAGATATTGCATAGCATTTGCTCTCCACCATAAAAGTGGTTCTGCTTCAGTTTCAGGCTCAGATAAATAGGTGTTAATTTCATTTGAATCCAATTGAATCGTGACTTGTTATAAGATTGCAAAGATGTTTTAGTAACAGTTGATTAGGTAATAATTTACTTTCTTTGGCTGGTTTGTATTTTTCATATACCTGGTAAAGTGTATTAATAACTTGTTCACGTTCATTAAATTTATAGGTTGCGAACATGTTGTATGAATCAAGAATACCTGAGATTATTGATGAATTATTTAGGTAAGTTTAATATAACTCAAGTTTGATTTTTATTGTATTGGCTACTGTAAATTGTGTATTAAGTTCTGAATCAGTATATTTATCTAGATACTTGATAAGTTCACAAAATATCATACATAAATCATCTTGAATAGGAAATGTTGAAGAGGATAATATTATAGTAGCATAATATATAGACTCGAGAATTATCATTAGATCCTGTAATTTATATTTAGTTAGCATATATATTATAAGCAAATATATTATATTTTTAAATTAAATTGCTAACCAAATAGTCATAATATAATATATATACTATTTTCACCATGTTTCTATATCAACTTCAGGTATTAAAAACAAAATTTTTTTCATTTCAAAATTTTTTTTAGTTCTCAAAGTAATAAAGAAGAGTTCTGAAGTTTTATAGAAAATTTTCATGCTTTGCAAATTTCTTTGGTAATTAGTTTTACTTCTTTGATGTCAAAATTAAAAATATATATAGTACAACAAAAATATTATATATTTGCATTTTGAAATTATCAAGTGTCTTTTCTTTTAGAACATGTTCCATTATAATTATATTGAATGTATTATCTGTTATAATACCTAAAAGTTTTTTACTAATATCTATTTTTAATAATTGCATTACTTTGGTTTATCATAATATAATTATTATCAAATAGTATAATATTAAATAAAATTTGATATATTTTTCAAGTAGTATCTATTTAGTATATTGTTATATTAAGATATAATTATTGAGTATATGATATTTATTCATCTATTGTAATCAATACTTTGAGAAAATTATAGTCAAAAATATTTTAATTTGTCTTGTTTATAATATATTTTTGATTAATTTATATTAAAAGAGTTTGACAACATGAAAGTTTATAACATGTACAGTCAATATGAAAAGTAATGGCAATCATGTTTTTTGCTGAAATTTATCAATATCTTAATAAGAAATTACTCAAATATCGTAAATATTTGGTATTATATTCTTTAAGATAATGGAAACAAAATTTTCTAAGGTCACAAAGCATGTTAATATAGTAATATTTTGTGGAATCATGTGTCAAAGATGGTGGGTCTGGGAGCTATCCTAATTAAAGAGCTATAAAAAATTATTTAAAATTATTTTTTATAATCAAGCATGAAAATAATTTTATAAAAATATATTTAAAAACAAAAAATATATTTGTAATTTTAATTGATATTTATTGAATAAATGCCAGTCAAAAAAAGACTTAATTTTAATAAATTTTCATAATAAAATATAATAAAAATAATATTTTTATTATATTTTACTATATTTTACTATATTTTATTATAAAATTTA